CTGCGGTGGCCGGGAGCGGCCACTGCACTCCAGTCTGGGCGACAGAGTGAGACTCCAACTCAAATAAAAAAAAAGAAAAGAAAATTTATAGCATTATCTGTCTTGTCTTCAATGTTGTATCTTGCATCAAATTATTTATTTCTTCTAAAATGTGTAGCTAGTAGGTAAGCCTGGCAGTCCATATTTGTCTAGATTTAAAACATTTTGTAAATATTTTTATAAACATATACAAAAACTGTTAAAAAAAAGTATGTGATTTTCAGTTGACCTAAAATCAGACCTTATTTCTAGAGAAAGCTGTATTCTAAAATATCAAGTTATATTTATTGAATTATCTTTAGCCTGACATGATATTTCCTAGTTATTAGGCATAGTCTTTACTTCAATAAGCTCTGCTCTCTAGTATTTTTTTTTTTTTTTTTTGAGTTGGAGTCTCACACTGTCACCCAGACTGCTGGAGTGCAGTGGCCGCTCCCTGCCACCTCAGCCTCGCCTGCTGGGCTCAGGCGATCCTTCCACCTCAGCCTTCTGAGTAGCCGGAATAACAGGCATGCACTACCACGCCCGGCTGATTTTTTGATTTATTGTAGAGATGAGATCTCGCTGCCCAGGCGGGTCTCAAACCCGCGGGCTCAGGCAATCCACTCACCTCAGCCTCCCAAAGGCACGGGATTACAGGCTGAGCCACCGAGCCCGGCTCTAGTATTTTTTTAGATTAAAAAAATAGTTTATTTAAAAATAAATTAGAGTGAGAAAGAGAAGGGAGAGAGAAGATTCACCTCCCCAAGGTGGGGGAGGGGGCCAAAGCCAGGAATCATAGAGACAGTCATAGCTCAAAGAGCACATGGCCACACCAGGATCTAGCAAGGCAATGGACACTCTCTAGTATTTTAAAGGTTGACATTTTTAAAAGCTTAACTATAGACCAGGCATGGTGACTCACGCCTGTAATCCTAGCAGACTGTGGATTACAGGGAGACTAAGGCAAGATGACTGCTTGAACCCGGGAGTTTGAGACCAGCCTAGGCAACATAACCTTGACTCTACAAAAATCAAAAACAGCCGACTGTGGTAGAGTATGCCTGTAGTCCCAGCTACTTGGGAGGCTGAGGCAGAAGGACTTCTTGAACCCAAAAGGTTGAGGCTGCAGTGAGCTGTGATTGTACCTTTGCCCTCCAGCCTATGTGACAGAGTAAGACTCTGACTCAAAAAAAAAAAAATTTTTTTAACTAGGTAACTTTTCTTTAAAAACCTACAGACAAGCTGGGCTCGGTGGCTCAGCCTGTAATCCCGTGTCTTTAGGAGGCTGAGGTGAGTGGATTGCCTGAGCCCGTGGATTTGAGACCCACCTGGGCAACTTGGTGAGACCTCATCTCTACAATAAATAAAAAAACTGGCCGGGTGTGGTAGTGCGCACCTGTAGTTCCAGCTACTTTGAAGGCTGAGGCGGAAGGATCGCCGGAGCCCAGCAGGTCAAGGCTGTGGTGGCCAGGAGCGCCACTGCACTCCAGTCTGGGGGACAGAGTGAGACTCCAACTCAAAAAAAAAAAAAAAGGAAACCTACAGACTATCTGTAGCTGTGTAACTTTTCTAATGACTACTGTGATTCAATATTCTCATTTATTAAATTTCAGACATTTTCCCCCAACAAATTCCTAAAAGTTATTGTAATGTAGTCACTTGTACCTAGGTAATATTTCATGTGTTTCCTAATACCATTGTATAATCCATAGTATTCCTTGCAGTACTTATGTAATAGTTACATAAGTTATTAACAGATAACTACTCTCATCTCTAATCTTTGTTCAGAATTTTTCATTTAAATTATTTAACACCCTGGCTAAATTCAGTAAGTCATCCAAGGGATTGTAAATTTCATTCATGGTTTTGGAGTTTGTTTAGTTTACTACCTGACAAGATAATTAGCAAAGTACCCAACTTTTAGTCAAATATTACTCAAAAGAACTTTTTCATAGCAGTTTAGATTTTTATTACCGTAAACTTGATGATTCTAAGAGCATGAGTAAGCTATGTGAAAAAAATCTACAGATGAGATTGTTTGGAGCTTTGTAATAATCAAAATATCACACTCCATATATTGCAGAATGGGCTTCTTTTTTCTACTGAATAATAGCATTTCTTCCTCAGAAACAATCATTACTGGATAGTAAAGGTAGACAGAACCCTGTGACTATGAATGCTCACATCACAGAATTAGTGCTATGAGAGCAAGGAACTAGTTAAGTAATGGAGAGAGAAAGGGAGAAACATGTCATTGGATCTGTATCTTTTTCTAATAGCAATAATAATAGCAATCAAACATCTTCGCTGAAAATTTAAGACACTTTAAACTGTTAGCAATTAGTGATGATATGTGCAAAAACTATCATACTTGACATCTAAGAAAATAAATCTCTGTAGGTTGATTAATATATTTCTCAACCTGAGGTGTTGGCCAGGCGTGGTTGCTCACACCTGTAATCCCAGCACTTTGGGAGGCGGAGGCAAGAGGATTGCCTGAACCCAGGGGTTTGAGATCAGCCTGGGCCACATGGCAAGACCTTGTTTCTACAATAAACCAAAATTAGCCAGGTGTGGTGGCGTGCGCCTGCAGTTCCAGCTACTTGGAAAGCTGAGATGGAAGGATTGTCTGATCTCAGCAGGTCGAAGCTGCGGTAGCTGTGAGCGTGCCACGGTACTGCAGCCTGGGTAACAGAGCGAGACTCTGATTCAAAAAAAAAGAAAAAAAAAGCCTTAGGTGTTTCAACTAAAGTTTACATAAAAACAAATTTATGCCATATCTTTAACCAGTTCTGTTCAACTGGAATTTGGAATTATCCATCATCTCCTCACTTCTGTATATTTTGTGAATCAAGAGTCTACTGTATTTTGATGGTCTCATTTTTATTCTTTTCACTCTTTGTTGTGAATATGCTGAAATATGACATGTGACATTAGTTAAGCATAACAGATCAGTTTTTATTAAGAGTACATTAGGCCAGGCATGGTGACCCACACCTATAATCCCAGCACTTTGGGAAGCCGAGGTGAGAGGATTGCATGAACCCAGGAGTTTGAGACCAGCCTGGGCAACATGGTGAGATCTCGTCTTTACAATAAATCGAAAAATTAGCTAGGCATAGTGATATGCGTCTGTAGTCCCAGCTACTTGGAAGGCTGAGACAGCAAGATTGCCTGAGCCCAGCAGCAGGTTGAGGTTGCAGTAGCCATGATCCATGCCACTGCATTCTAGTCTAGGTGATAGAGAAAGACTTGACTCGGGGGAACAAAAAAAGTACATTAAACTGAGAACCTCTCTTCCTTCCCTTTTAAAAAAATACCAGATACTCTCGATGAATATTTTGAATATGATGCAGAGGAGTTCTTGGTCTCTTTGGCCCTGCTAATAACAGAAGGACGAACACCTGAATGTTCTGTAAAAGGTCGAACGGAAAGTTTTCATTGCCCTCCAGCACAGTCTTGTTACCCAGTAACTACCAAACATGAATGTAATGACAAGCTGGCTCAGGTAAGAATCTTGTGTTGAATGCTGTTTATTTATCTCTTATATAAACTAGTTCAAGTTCCATCATTACCTTTCCTACTTTACAGTGATAGTTTTTCACATTTCAATGTAAAATTTGTCATAACTATAAAGGAAAAATATCTCCAATCCTGGACCATAGCTAATACCCTTGGCTCATAAAAAAGGCTCTTGCAGGCATGGCATTTAGTTTTGCTAACCAGCAGGAAGGTGGGCAGCTGATTTCATACCTGCCCTCTCATACAGTAGCTATAAGATTATTTTTGCTATTGTGATTTACTTTTCGTTATTTTTAGAGTCTCAGCCCTGGCTCATCCACTCTGTATTCTTATTCATTTGTTATAATTATTTTCCTCATATTAGCCAATTTTGCATTCCCTTTTTTTTTAAATGGAAGGATACGTTTTGTTATTGTTTTTCTATAATACTGTTAAAATATAAGCTGGATGTGGTGGCTCGCACCTGTAATCCTAGCACTTTGAGAGGAAGAGACGAGAGAATTGCCTGAGCCCAGGTATTGGAGACCAGCTTGAGCAACTTGGCAAGACCTCATCTCTACAATAAATCAAAAAATTAGCTGGGCATGGTGACATATACCTGAAGTTCCAGTTACTTGGAAGACTGAGGCAGAAGGATCGCCTGAGCCCAGCAGGTCAAGGCTGTGGTGGCCATGCTCACTCCAGCCTGGGTGACAGAGTGAGACTCTGACTCAAAAAAAAATTCTCTCACTTACTAGTTTCTCAAATGTAGTCCAAATTTTTAAACTTTAAAAATCTTGTCAATTTTGAGTGTTTGATGAAAATAAGTTTTTAATACTTTGGTCTTCAAATTTACAAATTAATCTTTCCTATGAAATGATGATGAAATTAACAAACTAGTCAAGGTTAGGCCAACTCAGAGGCCTATCATACATTATATATAGCAATTCTTCCTGACAAGATAGAAGAAAGAAATATTACCCAAGAAAATTTGCATCATATTAATAAAATCAATATTTGCGTTCTGTATTAATCCTTACACTCTAGAACTCCTTAGCATGAATCCATTATTTAATGAGGAAATCTCAATAGCCAAGCCTAAGCAAAGCTCTGCAATAGATGACTCATTTCTCATAGATGTTATCTTTATAATTATAATTTTTAATTGAAATACAAAAGTAGATGGGTTATTGAGACATTGCTTACATTTATTTTCTCTAAGTGTCGCCAAGCCAGACGAACTAGGTCTGAGGTCACACTGTTGTGGAAAAATAATCTTCCAATCATGGTAGAAGTGATGCTACTACCAGACTGCTGCTACAGCGATGATGGGCCCACCACAGAAGGAATTGATCTAAATGATCCTGCAATTAAGCAAGATGCATTATTATTAGAAAGATGGATCTTGGAGCCAGTTCCTCGACAGTAAGTTATTAAACTTGGTTTGAAGTTGTTCCTGGTAAATCAAGTTTTCTATTACTTCCTATAAATTATTTTAATGTATCATGTATTAGTCTTCCTCTATTTAAGTAGTAAAATTGAGACACTTAGTACTTAGTTTAGTAATTGTAATTTCAAGTAATATTGGTAAGTGCACTACTATACTCTTCAAAGCGTACATTTCCAAAGCATACAAAGTGATAAGTTCATGGCAGCTCCTACCGTTCTAAAATTCGGTTTTGTATTTACTGACATTTAAATTATGCTTTGTTGCCTCCTTTAGGAGTGGCGATCGATTTATTGAAGAGAAGGCTCTTCTGTTGGCTGTTCGTTCATTTGTGTTTTTTTCTCAGTTAAGTGCTTGGCTGAGTGTTTCTCATGGTGCTATTCCACGGAATATTCTCTACAGGTATGTCTAGGACAAAAAAAGGGTAGTGCATATTCAACCACTGAATAGCATTTTATCTTTTAAGTAGACTGTTGCCTTCATTTCTAAATACAAGTAAATAAAATTTACCAAGTATTTTTTTCAAAACAAGTTAGAGAAATTTGAATTGAATCAGTATGAAGTTTGCTTGTTGCATTAAGTTTGATATGGAATAATATCCCTAGAACTTTTAAGCTTACTTTAGAGAAACCAATGGAAAAATGCTATAAAGTAGAGGGCCATTGCTTTACTAAATTCTGATATAGCCATGTGCTCTTTGACCTATGGCTGCCGCCCTATTTTCTAAGCTTTGGTCTCCTCTCCTACCTTGGACTCTCCACTCTCTTCTCTCTCTCTAATTTACTTTCTAAATAAACTATATTTTCTAATCTAAAAAAATAAAGTAGGAATTTTTTCTGGGCAGCTGAATTTTTACACTGGATCTTTGCCAAAATGCCAAGAAGCAATTGCTGAATTTTTAGAAGAATAGTCTTTATTAATTTTTGGCATCTTGAAAAAAATAAACAAGCTGCTAAACAACTAACTGACTTTTTTGGCAGGTAGCCATGAGATATTGTGTCTCTTAACCACCTTGCACAGCATAGTTAGTTGAATTCATATATATCCTAGTATATACAAATTCGTTTTCTTCTGTTTTGACAAATAGTTTAACATTGTAATATTCTTGAGCCTTAATGCTTAAGTGATTTGATTTTCTTAAAAACCTTATCTCTTCCAAGCATAATCTATTGTACTGTATACATTGGTTTTATCAGAACAATATATGTGGTAAAGTGCCTAAAAAGTAAACCTCAGTGGCAATTAATGTGAACAAAAATAAGTTAATAACTTCTGTACACTTTAAAAATAATAATAAGCATAACTTTTGTAATCTATTGATTCAGTATCTTTCTGTGTGATTCTAGAATCAGTGCTGCTGATGTAGACCTACAGTGGAATTTTTCACAGACTCCAACTGAGCATGTGTTTCCTGTTCCCAATGTTTCTCACAATGTGGCCTTGAAAGTCAGCGTTCAGTCCTTGCCCAGACAATCAAATTACCCAGTTTTGACCTGTAGTATTCACACTAATATTGGCCTTTATGAGAAAAGAATTCAAGAACATGAACTTAAAACCCATCAGCACCGCAATTCTAATGAAGCAGAACAATGTAGTACAAACAGTTCACAGCGTCTGTGTAGCAAACAAACTTGGACCATGGCACCTGAAAGTGTATTACATGCAAAATATGGCACAACTCCAGAATATACTTCAGCTGTCAAAAATGTCAGACTGTATCCAGGCACTGGCAGTAAATCAGACTATGGGACATCTCAAGCCAATATTCTGGGCTTTAGTGGCATAGGTGATATAAAGTCACATGAGACATCAGTAAGAACTTTAAAATCATTTTCAGTTACTGATCCTAGTGTGTCTGGCCGCCAGAGCTCCTGGCAGTCAGTCGGCGAAACAAACCCTTTAATAGGCTCTTTAATTCAGGAGCGACAAGAAGTTATTGCAAGAATTGCTCAGCACTTGATTCATTGTGATCCAAGCACTTCGCATGTTTCTGGACATCCATTTAATACTCTAGAGTCTAGTTCACTTCATTCAAAACTTAACCGGGTTTCACAAGAAAATGAAAATTTGAGAAAATATAAAGAAACTTTCTCCATTTCTTTTGGTAGTCCAGAGTTTACCTCCCCAGAAGGCACCAATGAGGTCAAAATTCGACTAAAACCAGAAACTCTTCGCAATGAACCTTGCAATTCTAATGGTCTTTATTCTCGTCAGTCTATTGGAGAGGCTAATCCTTTAATAGGCTCTTTACTCCAGGAGCGGCAAGATGTTATCGCAAGGATTGCTCAACACTTGGAGCACATTGATCCAACAGCATCGCATATTTCCCGACAGTCATTCAACTTGCATGACTCCAGTTCAGTTCCTTCTAAAGTGTTCAGGAGTTCATATGAAGACAAAAATTTGTTGAAAAATAAAGATGATTCTTCTGTTTCCATATCTCATACAAAATGTTCCTTATTAGGAGACAGCAATTGTGGGGAAAACGTAATACCTAATAAATCTTTTAATTCTTTTAAATGCAATAGTAAAGAAAAGTGTTCTTTGAAACCTCAAATAAGAAATCAGTATCAGAACAATCCTAGTGAAATCATCCAAAGTACATATCAGGAGACACAGAACAAAGCTGCTAGTTTATTGACTTTCTCAAATTGCAAAGAAAATCACTTCGATTTGACAAACAGATTTAAGAAGCAAGAAATGAGCATTGAAATTGATAAACAGTATTCAAAGTGCAGCAGTATTGAGAAGCAGACTTGCACAAATAAATATAAGGAAAAAATAATACAAAATGAGAATTATAATCCAGAATCCCTTGACAATCTCCAATTTGATAATTCAAAAAAAAGTGACTCCAAAATAAAAGTTACAACGTTGGAAATGCCTGAATATTTAAACAGACATGAAAATAAGTGCTCATATAAAGACTCCAAAAGGCCTAATTCATGTGAGCAAAATACTCAACTTAATAGCATAGAAAATTATCTAAAAAATAATGAAGGTTTCAAATGCAAAAAGTCAGACCAATTAAAAAGTGAACAGGATAAGAAAGAAGATTCAATTGCTGAAAAATCTCAAAACTGTTTTCAGAGAAGTATAAAAGACTATCTGTCTCCATATGAACGACCAAAAAATACAGAGGTGTTGGTAAGTAACTTCTGATATTTCAAATATAATTCTCAAATATTTGTTAGGGTTTACATTTTATTTACAGTATATCTGGTTCTAAAACCCCAAGGTACCTATTATCTATAAAGCACATAGTCTATAATAAATCTATAGAACTAGGTTTAACATCTTTGCAAATAACCTCCTCTCTTAAGAGCAACGCTTAGGTAAATAGAGGAAATAAATATCATGTGGTTTAAAAAATAGGGAGTAGTGCCCTTTCTTTTTGAAACAGCTAACGTGGCAATAATTTTTTTCATGACCTATTAGGTCTGTTATTTAGGTCTTAGAGCTCTGTTCTCTCCTTGCCCACCCCCTATGTAAAAGGTCTATTACTTCTATTCAGAAGCACCTAGCTTTTAAATTTTGGTCTGTGGATTCAGGAGAATCAATGCTATATAATATGTATAGAACAATATTTTGATTTTGTATGATGTTAGTTTATTGCTTGCAGTTATATCACATAATTACAGAACATTTGATTCCTTTTACTACTTCACCATGGGACAGATAGGACAGTTATGAGGAAGCTGGGACTCAAAGAGAATGACTGACACCACACTAGTGACTGCTCAGCAACTCAACTGGCACCCCCCACTCCCACCCCAGTTTCTTGACTTATAATCCAGTCAGTCTTTTTTCTACTACCTCATAATAACCAAGGACAAATTTGTGAACTATACAAGTACTTCATTTGGATTTGTCCCTCTTTTATTTCAATACTTAACTGCTGGAGAATAGGCATGAATTAGAAATGAAACTTTTATGAGCTTAATGTGTTTGTCAGCCGTTCTGGCCCAGTACACTTGGTATGTCCACTGTGTTACACCATTAGTTAGTTAATAATTTTCAAAGTATCTATAGGGAATCACTAAAGTATTGGTCAAAACACCTGAGTTCCAGTCCTGGCTTCACAGTTAGTCCTGAGTGATGCTGAATAAATCATATAACTTCTAAAAACCTTAGTCTCATCAGTTTTACAGTGAGAATGATAAATCTCTTGTGCCTGTCTCAGAGTTATGATTATCAAATATTGGATTTTAAAATATTTTGTAAACCTTTAATGCACTATATAAATGAAAAATATTTGTTATTTCCATTTTATTTTACTTCCCACCAAACCATTTTGTAACTTCCAAAAATCACTAGACTTCAGTTACTTTTATTTCTCTAAGCAGTGTCACAGATTTATGTGTTAGTTTTATAGAAAACTGCTAACTGCCTTAATTCTAGTCTGAATGACCTTGGTTCATCATCTTTATCACTCAAGTTACTTTTGCCAGACGTTAGAGTTTTTAAAATGTATCATGTTTCCAATTATATTTTTCTACAGAAGATTTATTTCTAAAGTGGGGTTTAATGAAATTTCCTAAAACTACGATTGTTACAAAATCCTACACTGGCCTTAAGGAATATTAGCTTTTTATGATCCTTTCCAGTACCTAATAGGAAGACTTAAATCTGGCCATGATATTTTTCAGGCCACTAAAATTCATTTTTTATGCATTTGTTTTAAATATAACTATACAACATTTACTATATGCCGACACTATTCTGAATATTTTACACATGTTGGCTTACCTAATCCTCTCACCATCCTATGAAGTGAGGTGCTTTTATTTATTTTTTATTTTAAAAAATACAGTTTATTTAGAAGTAAATTAGAGAAAGAGAAGGGAGAGAGAAGATTCACCTCCCCAAGGTGGGGGAAGGAGCCAAAGCCAGGAAGCATGGTGATAGCCATAGCTCAAAGAGCACATGGCCACAGCAGGGTCTAGCAAGGCAATGGCCACTGTGCTTTTATTAATTCCTGTTTATAAATGAAGACCGTAGGCTAAAGAGGTTAAGTAACTTGCCTAAGTTCAAAAAGCTAGTAAATGGTAAAGCCAGAACCCAATGTAGTCCTTTCTACTTTTTATTCGTGTATTTTTTTTTTAATGTTAGGTATTTGGGTATAAACTTGTCCAGTCCTTAAGAATTAGCCTATTTCTAGGCCAGTTGCGGTGACTCACACCTGTAATCCCAGCACTTTGGGAGGCCGAGGTGAGAGGATTGCCTGAGCCCACGAGTTTGAGACCAGCCTGGGCAACTTGGTGAGACCTCATCTCTACAAAAAATCAAAAAGTTAGGTGGGCATGGTGGTACCTGCCTATAGTTTCAGCTACTTAGAAGGCTGAGGTAGAAGGATCACCTGAGCCCAGCAGGTCAAGGCTGCAGTGGCCATGAGTGTCCCATTGCACTTCACCTGAGCGACAGAGTGAGACTCTGACTCAAAAAAAAAAGAATTAGCCTATTTCTTTTGTGTGGGGGTCAAAAATATAGTACTGTGACTGCATTATATACAATTTTTTTTAGATTGGAAAATATAGTTTATTTAGAAAATAAATGAGAGAGAGAGGATATTCACCTCCCCAAGGAAGGAGAGGGAGCCAAGGCTAGGACACATGGCGACCATGGCTCAAGGAGCCACATGATCAGACCATGGCTTAGCAGAGCAATGACCTATATGCATTTTTTTTTCTTAATTGGTGTCTCACTCTGTCACCCAGTCGGGAGGGCAGTGGCAAGCCGCTGGCCTCGGGTGATCCTTCTGCCTCAGCCTTCCAAGTAGCTGGAACTACAGGCATGTGCCACCATGCCCGGCTAATTTTTATTTTAGAGATGAGGTTCTCCAAGTTGTCCAGGCAGGTCTCGAAGCCATGGGCTCAGGCAGTCCTCTCACCTCAACCTCCCAAAGTGCTGGGATTATAGGCATGAGCCACTGCACCCGGCCTTACATTCTTAAATACACAGTATTTCTTATATTCCTGTATCATGCTCTACCAAATAATGTCCCCTGAAAATTGCTCTTGGTATTGACATTGTTTTATATATTAGAACATTATACTATTTTTTTTCTATTGGTGAATATAGTAGTCCCCTCTTATCCACAGTTTTGCTTTGCACAGTTTCACTTTTCGTGGTTTCAGTTACTCAGGGTCAGCCATGGTCAGAAAATAGGTTAATGTCGTATACGTTGAGAGATACAGAGAGACCACATTCATATAACTTTTATCACTGTCTATTGTCATGATATTGTATTTTATCATTGTTGTTACTCTCTTACTATACCTAATTTATAAATGAAATTTTAGCATGGCTATTTACATGTAGGGGACCAAACATAGCATATATAGTGTTTTGTGCTACCTGTGGCTTCAGGCATCCACTGGGGTTCATGGAACAGATTTCCCATGAAATTATCAAATATTAGCTTATAAAGTGCTATATTCTGAGCAAAATGACAATATGTTGATAAGGCAATTATACTTGGACATCTTTTCTTTAGAACATTTGAACTTATTCAGCATATCATCAAAAAAATTAGACATTGTTTTCCAGCTAGAATGTATGTGTGTGTGCATGTATGTGTGTTTTGGCATAAGATACAGATATATGTGTTGGGCATCCCAAATCCCAAAAATCCAAAATTTGAAATGTTCCAAAATTCAAAACATTGTGAGCACCAACATGATGTTCAAAGAAAATGCTCTCTGGAGCACTTTGAATTTTTGGATGTGGATGCTCAACTGCTAGGTTCATAAGATGTAAATATTCCAAATCTGGGGAAAAAAATTCAAAACCTGAAACACTTCTGGTCCCAAGCTTTTCAGATCAGGGATATTCAACCTGTGTACCTTCAGCTACACCACCAAGAATGTAATACCTCAGAACATATTAAGAATGAGTCTAAAAACTGAAAAGTTATACAAGCTATTTAAAGGGTATGTAAATATTACCATTAAAATCTATTTCTGTTTCTAGCAGAGGACTACACTGAAACATTCAAATGTCTGGAGAAAACATAATTTTCATTCCTTGGATGGAACCTCAACCAGAGCCTTTCATCCTCAAACTGGATTGCCTCTTCTTTCAAGTCCGGTAAGCATTTTCTTTTATTATGCTTTTAAATTTTACAAACATCTGAAATGTTTACAAATAATTTCTTTCAATTTTAATTGAAACCAATTTTAAGCCTTTAAAATAAATTTCCAGTTATAAAAGATTTTATTTTTGATAACACATTTAAAAACTAGGTGATAATATGAAAAAAGACTAAAAAGTGAATAAAAATTAAATTTGGTATATTAGGATTACAGAATTTCTCTGAAATTCTTTTGCCTAATATATATTTTTTTGAGTAAGAGTTTTACTCTGTTGTCCAGGCTCGACCTGCGGCTCAGACGATCCTTCCACTACAGTCTTCCTAGTAGGAGGGACTGCAGGCACATGCCACCATGCCTGGCTGATTTTTTTGTAGAGACAAGGTCTTGCTATGTTGCGCGGGCTGGTTTTGAACTCCTGGGCTCAAGCAGTCCTTCTACCTTGGCTCTCAAAGTGCTGAGATTATAGACCTGAGTCACTGTACCTGGTCAGTTTTATTCTTTTTATGGTTGAATAATATTCCATTATGTATGTGTACCACATTTTCTTTATTCATTCTTCTATTGATGCATACTTAGTTTGCCTCTATATATTGGCTATTGTGAATAGTGCTATATTGAGCATGGGAGCGCAGCTGTCTCCTTGACTGTTTTCCCTTCTTTTATATATACATTTGCTGATCATTATGTATATATATATATATATCCAGAAATGGAACCGCTGAATCATATGGTAGTTCTATTTTTAGTTGTTTTAAATTTTTGTTTGTTTTTGAGTTGGGGTCTCATTCTGTCACCCAGGGTAGAGTACAGTGGTACAGTCACAGCTCACCACAGCCTTGAACTCTTAGGCTGAAGAGTTTCGCCCTCCTCGGCCTCCTGAGTAGCTGGCACTACAGGCACGTACTACTACGCCTGGCTAATTTTTAAAAAACTTTTTGTAGAGATGAGTTCTCCTTATGTTGCCAAGGGTGATCTTGAACTTCTGGGCTCAAGCAGTCCTCTGACATTGGCCTCCCAAAATGCTGGGATCAAAGACGTGAGCCACTGTGCCCCCTAGCCCCATTTTTAGTTTTTTGAGTAACCACCATGCTATTCTCCATAGGGCTGCTAATTTACATTCCCACCAATAATGTGTGAAGGTTCTTCTTTCCCACATCTTTGCCAGCCTTTGTTATTACCTGTCTTTTGAATAAAGGCTGTTTTAACTTGTTTGAGATGATATTTCATTGTAGTTTTAATTTGCATTTCTCTGATGATTAGTGATATTGAACATTTTTTCATATACCTATTGGCCATATGTATGTGTTTGAGAAATGGCCATTCAGATATTTTGCCCACTTTTTAATAAAACTCCAAATGTTTGACCTACCTATCAGGTGCTTTCAAAGTGCCCAATTGATCACTGAAAAAATGATCAACATTATGATGTGTAAAAAGCATTACAGACTTCTGGTCAATACCTTGGAATGAGTTAATATGAGAAGATACTTTTTCTTTTCCAAATAAAGAAATTCTGGATTGAATATAACAACTGCTAAATATATAATACAGTATAAGAGAAAGAAAGATAAATCTCCAAGTAGTAACTTGTGGTAAATTATGGCCCTTTAGGACATCTGAACTTATTTAAGTACTAGAGTTAGTGCCTCTAAGTAGAAATTTCAGGTATGAAAAATGATTGGAGCGCGCGCGCGCGCGCGCGCACACACACACACACACACACACACACACACACACACACACACACACACACACACACCAGTGAATTTACCCACAGACTAAAATCAGCTGAATAGAGGCTTAGTGAGTAGATAGACAAATATTTAGAAAGCACCTAGAAAGAAGCACAGAAAGGAAAAGAAATGGTAAAATATGAAAGAACGATAGAGGTTAGAGTGAGATGTTCAATATATGTCTAGTAGAAGTTTCAAATGAAGGACTAGATAGAATAAAGAAAACGCAATTTAGAAAATAGCAAATTGCCTGGGTGTGGTGGCTCACGCCTGTCTATAATCCCAGAATTTTGGGAGGCCAAGACAGGAAGATTGCTTAAGCCCAGGAGTTCAAGACTAAACTGGGCAACATAACACTATCTCGTCTCTACAAAAAATTTAAAAATTAGCCAGGTGTGGTGGCATGTGCCTTTAGTCCCAGCTACTCGGGAAGCTGAGGTCGGCTCCTCGCCTGAGCCCAAGAGTTTGAGCCTGCAGTGAGCTATGATCATGCAACTTTACTTCATCCTAGGAGGCAGAGCAAGACCCTAACTCAAAAAAAAAATAGAGAGAGAACTTTTCAGAATTGAAGACGTGAGAGCTTAGATCAAACATTTTGCAATAAGTTTGAACTGCAGTAAATAGCATGGTGCACTTGTTTAGACTTTCAGTATCATGTACTTCTTCTGTTACCAATTAGACTAGTAACTCAGATAATTTACACATATTTAATTTTTTAGAAACAAATCTGTTTACCTTTATGTTGTATGTGATTTTACCTTTAACTTACATTTGGGTCTTATAGGATATTCTGAGCTGGGTGGTAGTTCACCTGAAGTGTAGTCTGGTCTACACTGATGACTATAAATCTAGAAGATTATTTTCAAACCTGTTCTCTATAAAGCCTTAGGGTTTTTTGGAATGTCACAATGGGTGGGATGATCAAAGGAGAAGGCATTGTGGGTAGGACCCTCTATTTAATTATTTTCTTTTTTCTTTTAAATCTAGAATTGTTTTTCCTCCTAAAATCATAGAGAAGTATACAAATAAGTAAAAATCTTATTTATATTATGTATTGAGATTCCATGGAGGATGTGGTTTTAGAATAAAACTGGTTCTGCTGCTTAAAAAAATCAAAACCTAGTAAAAGTGCTTTTAATAACCCTCTGGTTTTTCCACACTTGTTAATAAAATGAGAATATTAAAACAATATATAACAAACAGCATGATTTTTAGTAGGTTGTTATAGGAGAAGTCTTGTTATTTCAAAGATAGGCTTAACTTTAATTTGAGAAGTGTTTTATCATTTAGAGAAAAAAATCTTTTCAAATAATACAAATGATCACTTTGACCTTAGGTTCCTCAAAGAAAAACACAATCAGGTTGCTTTGATCTGGATTCTTCATTACTGCATCTGAAAAACTTCTCATCTAGAAGGTATTTATCTCAAAATTAATTTGTCTATATGAAACAATTTCAAAAATTTCTGGTCTTTCACAATAAGTAATTTCAAAATAAGTTGCAACAGGAATCTTATTTTCAGAATGATTCCATGCATGTACATAATTATTAAAGATGACTGAGGATAAAATTAAGGTGGCGTGTAGCAGCTATATATCAGTTATCATAATGAACTCTTCTATTGGTTTTAATATCCACGTGAATTTGTATATTTCTGGTCATTAAACTCAACCTTTTATTTCTTCTTTTAAAATAATGTTAGCAATTTTTGCATGTTAGCAAATACTCTGATTATATTAGTCACACAATTTTACCCTTGTCTAATTTTTAACTGAAAATGAAGATTAATGACACTATGTGATTGATATGTTATAAATTTCACCTTAAAAACTTTTAAGATGCCACTATATTTATATATAGTGTGTATATACACACACACTTTATCAAATACTATAACAAAGATTATAAAATATAGTCATAAATTTTAAACTAGAAATTTTATATCTTAAAATTTGGTGATATTAGTTTTATTATGAGTAGATTGAGTAAAATTGTTCAGATTATTCTAGTTTAATTTTGCACAAAAGTCAATAAAATATTATGGTTAATTTTTTCTTATGCTGGTTTGTTTTTTAATAGTCCTCGACCATGTTTAAACATTGAAGATGATCCAGATATTCACGAAAAACCATTTTTGAGTTCTAGTGCTCCACCTATAAGTCTTAGTCTCCTAGGAAATTTTGAGGTAATGTGTTTTTAAACTATTGTAAAAATGGAAGTTTTTTAACCTAACTCTAGTGTTGTTTTATGTCTTTAACATTGGTTGTGAAAGGTAGATAGTCTCTTTGTCGAAGCCTTGAAATTACCTTTTTATTTTTTTATTTTTTTGAGTTGGAGTCTCACTCTGTTGCCCAGGCTGGAGTGCAGTGGCACACTCACGGCCACCCCAGCATCGACCTACTGGTCTCCGGCAATCCTTCCATCTCATCCTTCCAAGTAGCTGGAACTACAGACGTGTGCTACAAAACCCAGCTAATTTTTAAATTTATTGTAGAGATGAGGTCTTGCCAAGATGCCGGGGCTGGTCTTGAACCTGCAGGCTCAGGCAATCCACTCACCTTGGCCACCCAAAGTGCTGGGATTACAGGCTGAACCTCTGAGCCCGACACCTTTTTATTTTATTTTGCTTTATTTTCGTGAAAAAGGAAGTTGGGAGAATTATTATTGGCAGTAACATTCTTAGAATTGAGTAGCTAGTGTAGGAAAATAGAGGACTTTGGTAAAATCAGGTTGGATTGAAGTATTTGTTAGTTAGGCAGGAGAATAAACTTGACCATATCTTCTAACTTGGTAAAATTGAGTCTGGGAACCCAAGAAAGGTGATGGCAGGCTAATAACAGCCCCTTCATGATCAAGCAGGTCGATTCACAAAATCAAATGGTTCTCTCTACTTTATTTGCAGCTAAATCTAAATCTAAAATAACAAGCCTATTTTTTTTTTGAGTCAGAGTCTCACTCTGTTGCCCAGGCTAGAGTACAGTGGCACACTCACTGCCACCGCAGCCTTGACCCCCTGGGCTTAAGCAATCCTTCCAGCTCAGCCTTTCAAGTAGCTGAGACTACAGGCATGCCCCACCACGCCCAGCTAATTTTTTTTTTAATTATAGAGACAAGGTCTCGCCATGTTTCCCAAGCTGGTCTCAAACCCGTGGGCTCAGGCATCCTCTTCCCTAGGCCTCCCAAAGTGCTAGGATTATAGGCTTAAGCCACCATATCTGGCCAACAAGGCTATTTTTTAAGAAATCAAATGGTTGAAGACCTCTGATACATGTACTTCTTTATTTAATGTGAATATTTCTAGTTGGGATCATGGTATCCTGGGTGTATACTGTCTTTAATTAGAAATCAGCTTAAGCCCTGCACAGTGGTTTACGTGTGTAATCCCAGTACTTTGGGAGGCAGAGGTGAGAGGATTGCCTGAGTCTAGGGATTAGAAACCAGTCTGGGAAACTTGGCAAGACCTTGTCTCTACAATAAATCAAGAAATATTAGTTGAGTGTGGCGGTGCATGCCTGTAGTTCCAGCTATTTGAAAGGCTGAGGCAGAAGGATTGCCTGAACCCAGCTGGTCAAGGCAGTGGTGGCCATGAGCATGCCACTGTACTCCAGCCCGGGCAACAGAGTGAGACTCAGACTCAAAAAAAAATAAAAATAAAAGTAAATCAGCTTAACCTTAAATATGAGCCTCTAAACAACATTTTTAAAGTGATTTTAGGCCAGGCACGGTGGCTCATCCCTGTAATTCCAGCACTTTGCGAGACTGAGGCGAGAGGATTGCCTGAGCCCACAGGTTTGAGACCAGCCTGGGAAATATGGTGAGACCTCGTCTCTACAATAAATAAAAAAAATTAGCCGGGCATGGTGATACATGCCTGTAGTCTCAGCTACTTGGAAGGCTGAGCTGGAAGGATCGCCTAAGCCCAGCAGGTCAGTGGCCATGAGTGTGCCACTGTAATCCAGCCTGGGTGACAGAGTGAGACTCTGCCCCCCCCCAAAAAAGTGATTTTTAACTAGCGAGGTTTTTAGGGGAAAATAATTTAAAATTTTTATGTTAATTAGGATTATTTGCTTTATAGAATGTATGGTATGATATATAAACTATGCCTTATTTATAATTATTTTAATATTGAAGCTTTCAAAGTTTTTGTGGAAATAAAAAAAGATTTGTAGTCTTTTCCATGTCATTTTCAAGGTATCAGTTCAGACATATTGAAAACTCTAGTTCTCTTTGTTATCAAATGAAATTTGCCTAAGCTGTTGTGAGAGACAGGTGCCTTTGTACTACAAGATACATATTTTTTAAGTCGAAATCTCACTCCGTTGCTTAGGCCAGAGTACAGCGGCACAATCACGGCTCACTGCAGCCTCTGATTCCTGGGCTCAAGCGATCCTTCCACCTCAGACTGTCTAGTAGCTGGGACTACAAGTGTGTACCACCATGCCTGATTAATATATATATATATAGAGAGAGAGAGACAGAGAGAGAGTAAAGACTGAGGTCTCGCTATATTGCCCCAGTTGTTCTCCAACTTCTAGGCTCAAGTGATCCTCCTGCCTCAGCCTGTACTGGGATTACAGGCGTGAGCCACCAAGCCCACCCCAAGATTTTTTTTTCACTTTTTCTTTTTTTCCTGCTCTTCCTTCTGAGGCTTGTACTACAAACAAAATTTATAAGGGAAAAAGAGAGCAGTCTCTACAAAAAATTTAAAACTTGGGAGGAAGGAAGAGAAGGAAGAAAAAGAAATTTTAAAAAATTAACCATGTATGGTAGTGTGTGCCTGTAGTCCCAACTACCCAGGAGGCTGAGGCTAGAGATCATTTGAGCCCGGCGTTTGAGGCTGCGGTGAGCTGTGATCATGCTACTGTACTCCAGCCTGGGTGACGGAGTGAGACCCTGACTCTCAAAAAATAAAAATAAAATAGAATTGCTTTTTGTATACATTTTAGAATTAGCTTGTCTGTTTCTGCTGAGATTTTATTTTGATTGCACTGGCACAGATGAATTTGGGGAAAATTGATCTCTTAATAGAGTCTTTCATTCCTTGAAATCCACTTATTTAGATATTCTTTGATTTCTTTTCATCAATGTTTTGTGGTTTTTGGCATTCAGATATTAGACATCTTTTTGTAGTTATATATCTAAAGTGTTACATGTTTTCCAACAATACTGCAAATTATACTTAAATTAATTCCAATTGTTCATTGCTAGTGTATTAAAATTAGTGAATATATATGTATATGTGTGTATATATGTATATCACCTGTGGCTTGCTCAACACACTTTTTAATTTTAGTAGATTTCTTAAAAGATTCTTTGGGATTGTTCTTATAGACAGTCATGTCATTTCCAAATAGAAACAGTTTTGTTTCTTACTTTGTAATCCATATGTTTTTTAGTTTCTTTTTTTGTTGTTGTTGCATTGCACTGAGTAGGGTCCAGCACATATGCTTGTGTATTAAATTTATAAAGTTTGAATTGGCAACTAATATTGGTCATTTGCCTTCCTCTGAAATTTTCTCCCATCTTTATGCATCTTAGGAACATTTATTGAGTACTTACTATGTGTCATACTGTATAGTAAGGATACAGAGCTAAATGATGAAGTTCCTGCCTTAGAGAAGTTTATAGTCCACTATAAAAAAGGGACTTGTAAATAATGTATAAACTCAAGTAATTAACACTAGTATAGAAGTATGCTAGAGCCTGTATATCTGCTGTCTCTGCTGATGTAATAGTGTAAAACTCTACTGAGGAACTATCACTTGAGCTTAGTCACAAAAGATGAATAGGAATTTGCCAAGTAAATTTTTGTGGTGAGGGGCAGGAGATTCTAAACAGAAGCAACTACACGTGCCTGGGTATATGTGCAAAAGTAGTAACATAGCATGGAGATATTGAAAAGCTGGAACTGAAGCAGGGCACTCTGCACAAGTGGGGAGAGATGCAGCAAGATAGGTAGGGCAGGATGTACATACAGTGCCATGAATTTTGACTTTGTTCTATAGACAGCAGGAAAAAAATATGGTGGATAATATGATAAAACATTTTTTAATAAAAGAAAAACTCTAATAGTAGTACAGAAGATATACTATAGTTGGAAAGACTTAACTAGAAGATGTTGCATTTGTTCAGAGGAGAACTTGTGAGGATCACGTAGATCACTGGGATAGTGGTGGTGGGTATAGAGATGAGGCCATGAGACTAAGAGGTAAATCAGCAGAATATGGATTGGGTAGACTGCCGGGCAAGAGGAAAGATTTAGAAAGTTAGTTGTGACATAAGTTGCTTGTGATACAGGTCTTTTTGACTAGGAGACTAGATTGTTGGTATATAACTTTGCAGTTTAGATTACACAGACCATTAGAATCATGAGAGTTTGCAGCACTTCTTTTGAAAGAGTGTCTTAAAGGAATACTACTCACATTTCATAATGTATGCATGTTGATGTATGTATGTGAAAGAAAACTTGTGAAAGGCTTAAAATGTTTCTTATACCTGGAAAGGTAACTACTAAAATGCCAGTCGGTGATCTTGGGAAGAATGGATAAGGTACTTCTCTGCTATTTGTATTTCTGTACTCTTAGTTTTTTCCTAATATACACTTATTGTTTATACAGTAAAACACATGTCACATACAACAGCATTTTTAAAAGAAGCAGTTATTTCTCAAAGTTATAAGTGCTTGGTGTCATCTTTGGATGAAACTGCCATATATAACCTGTTAGGTTTTTAAGTGCTTCTATGTGCCTAACACCATGACTTAATCTTACTGTGAGAAGTAAATACTTGCTGTTGTCGAGCATATTTTTAAATTTACAGATATAAAAAGAACGTACTAAACAGGTCTATATAACGGTGAAGCTCCAGGAGAGTTCTGTACAGTATGGGTTAGAACAGTAAGAGGAAGCCAAACTTTATGGGATGATAGAAGACTAATGGGAAATGAGGTTGATCTCAGGTGAGATGAACGGCAGAAATGAGGATATGGCCGTGGTAATGATCCTTTTCTAGTGCTACAAAGCATAGTAATACGTTTTTAATAGAAAAAAATGAATGTGTTGACTTTTATAATTGGGTTTTTAAATTACTTTTTTTGTCTTTCAGGAATCTGTCTTGAACTATCGTTTAGATCCTCTTGGCACTGTGGATGGTTTTACTGCTGAGGTAGGGGCAAGTGGTGTTTTCTGCCCCACACATTTGACTCTTCCTGTTGAAGTGTCATTCTACAGTGTTTCAGATGATAATGCTCCCTCTCCTTATATGGCAAGTATTTTTTAAATTGTCTTTTTCTGCCAAACCAACCAACTTAATCACAGATGTCTTCATGTGCTTTGGTGCAATACTTGAAAGTTTAAAACATTTCCTGAGAACTAAAAGCAGAATTCAAACTAATATACCCAAATATGACCTTACAACTTCTTTCTGAGCTACCTCAAACAACACAGAACCTCTTTTGCATTTAAGAATGGTGTTAAAAGTTTACTTGTTTCGTGTGACTTGAAAAAAATAATTAAAATTGATTAGTGATATTATAAGTCTATCTTGCTGAGTTCATACAAATTAGCAAGTGCTAACTGTGCACTATAATCCTACAAGAGTCACTTTCCCATGTGATCCTTATCTCAATAAGGTTTAAGTGAAAGATTGGGTGACCTAAGACTTCTGTGAGGCCTTTTCGCTCTGCTTTCTCCTTTTTGGTTTGTCTTTGGCTCATTCTTTTCTAAGCCTAAGGTTATTTAGAATACTAGCTATTTCAGACTCATGCTAATGTCTTAATGCAGAGTAAGATAGCTAAGAAGAATTCGAGCACCATCTTGAGCCTTGAGCTCGAGCCGTGACTTTACGTTTCTCATTTTTTTTATTCCAGCAGATTGCAGATAAAATAAGACTTCAGTTGCATAAATGACAGTGTATCCTTGTGTCTTATTAGTATTAGCCCTGTTCCAAGAGAAAGAGAGAGAAGTGGCTAGCAATGCAGATCTGTAAAAAGTCTACAGTATACAGTATTGATATCAAATATGGAGCCAAATCTGGAGTTTTATGTCAGGTCTTAATTTGGGGAATAAATATTACTGTAGGCATTAAACTGTACAGCCCAGTCTTGTACAGTACAGAGTGGTATTCTCACTCTGTTATCCAGGCTGGAGTGCAGTGGCACACTCATGGCCACCACAGCCTCAACCTGCTAGGCTCAGGTAATCCTTCTGCCTCATCCTTCCAAGTAACTGGAACTACAGGTGTGTGCCACTAAGCCCAGCTAATTTTTTGATTCATTGTAGAGGTGAAGTCTCTACATTGCCCAGACTGGTCTCAAACCGCTGGGGTCAGGCAGTCCTCTCACCTCTGCCTCCCAAAGTGCTGAGATTACAGACGTGAGCCACCATGCCCCGCTATAGCCCAGTGTTGATACTTCAATTTCCTGACTTATACCTGACCTAACTCCTTTTTCTCCTAACACCCCTCTCCTCCATTTTCGACCTTCAGGATTTTCAATGTGTTTTGTTATTAATAAAAGCTGTGAAAAGGGATGTCTACATAATTGAGAAATAACAGAGAGGAAAGGAAGCTGTACTTTTTAGGGACCTAAATATAGCCTATTTATTATTTGCTCACTTTTCTCAAGGAAGGTTCACTCCATTCTATCAGGCGAGAACCTGATTGGTGTTTCAGGTTACTGAATTAATCTATCCTTTTAAGAATCCTTGACTTTCTTTTCTGTGATAATATTCTTTAATTAACTATCCCTTATATATTTTTTTCTAAATCAGTTTACTTATTAGGAATGAGTTCTGTTTGCAAGTGACCCAACCCAAATCTTGGACCACAGATATTTTCTACTGTAAATTAGTAAAATTAATTTTGTTCTTTAGGGAATACTTATATTTTAGTAGTTTAGTCTGTTTTCAAAGCATCAATCATGTTTTGATAATACATATCACAGACCCACAAGGGTGAGACAGAACACTCCTATTTGTTATTCTAATAATAACTTCAGGACCTTTCTTCACAGATTATACAAATGACTCACAAGGGTAAAAATTTTAGCACAGAAAGTTATCTTTGTCTAGTAGAGGTGGTACAGAATTCCTCAAAGATTAATTCAAGCCATGTAATATCTCTCTTCAGTTGGGAATTAGTGGCAACAAATCTTCTCCAGGCATTATATGACAACACTTAGCTGTTTAGAAACTATGTATTTCGAAACCAGGCAGATATATATCTAAAGTAGGTATTCACACCTCATCAACAAGGGTACCTGCATAATGAACATTTGTATACCTAACCCTGAATTGTACCCTACATCTTAAAATAAAATAACATAAAATATAAAAATTAAAATAAAACAAGTGTGCCAGGGGCAAATTTATGGTATGACTTCCATTATTATATTAACAGGGTTATGTATGACTTCTTTCTATTTGTAATTAACCAGATATTAATTTCTATTTGTAATTAATCAAGATATACTTCTCTTAGTTTTCCAGTTGTTTTTGCATATTCTCTGTTCTGTAATAATTTGAGACATTTTTGTGTAAGATTTTGTCCAAATTTAGTTTATCTTAGCCTTATTATTTTATTTTTAAATGTCAGGAGAACATATGTGTTTCTTCTTTATGTTAATATGGTAATTTTTTCTAGGTATAAATATAATATGCTGATCCATTAAAATAATGAAAATATTAAATAATAAACTTTAATAATATTAATAAAATTTTAAATAATCTCTTTCTAAAATTCCCGACTTGCCAATGCTACTGGTCTTAGATTGCTTGGAAATTATTGTTTTAAAGTGCTGTCTTAAACTTAACGATTTTTTTTTTTAAATCTATACTTTTCTTTATAGATTGACTTAGTTACTATTATTCTAAAACTATTGGAATTGTATGTATTAAGGGAAATGCATATAGGCTTGATAGTCATTTTTTTGGCCTTACCAATTTTACTGTACTGCATATACAGTGTGTGTATATATATATATATATATTTTATTATTTTTTTTTGTGGTTGAGGGGACGCAGATGGCTGGTGAAGAAAAACAATAATATATCATCTGTAGTTATGTGATTATAAAGGTAGCTATTATTTAAGTATATTTTATTTTCTGGAAATGAGAAGTACAGGGGTATAATGTACTATACCATTTTCATGTAGAGTAAATAGCCACACTGCTCTAATAAGAAATGTGGTAGATAATACCTTTTTAGAAGACATGCAGTGCAGATTGTGTGAGAGAAATTGTTAAAGCTTATTAAAGCTTCATTGCTGTTTTGGTTAGGGACACAGTTTGTTGACATACTATTTTCATGCTCTAAATGACCATGTGATAATTCAGATTTGTCAAGAACCACGTGTCTTACAAGTGCCAATTTCTGTGAACATTTCTCGGTATTAATGTGTTATTTAGTAAACCAGTGTCAAATGTTGTTCACTTGGAGTTGAGGGATTTGTATATCAAAGTCTGGCCATCCCTTTTACCTTTCTCACTCCTTTTTACCTCCCAACACTGGTCCAACTTTCAAACCCAACAGAGATGTCACCTAATGGGGCAGTCCTGTTTTACATTTACTTTTATGTAAGTTTGACTTGTACAGGGTATAATGATATACTCGTGAAATATAGAGCATGCAATTACTCTACTTGGCTACTTAAAAAAAATTACAGGCCCAGTTAAAATAAATGACTCAGAATTTATTTTTTAAAGCTCTCTAGTAATTATGCATCACCGTCACTACCTATCATCATTTGTTCATCTTGGTTATTGAGAAGCTTTTACACATTCAATTTGAACATATCTTGTTTTAATTTATACTTTTTCCTCATTGTTTGCACTTCTGTGGTGATTAAAGCATCCTAAGAAAAATGACTTCAGCCAGGTGTGGTGGTTCATGCCTGTAATCCCAACTCTTTGGGAAGCAGAGGTGAGAGGGTGCCTGAGCCCCGGGGTTCAAGACCAGCCTAGGCAACATGGCAAGACCTCATCTCTACAATAAATTAGCTGGGCATGGTGGCACTCACCTGTGGTTCCAGCTACTTGGAAGGCTGAGGCAGAAGGATTGCCTGAGCCCAACAGGCCGAGGCTGCAGTGGCCATGAGCGTGCCACTGTACTCCAGCCTGGGCGACAGAGTGAGACACTGACTCCAAAAAAAAAGAAAAATGACTTCATATACTAGAGCAGTGCTTCTCAAACTTTCATGTATATATGATGTCATCTGGGCAGTCTTCAGTCTTGTTAAGATTCAATCTTGATTTGGTAGATCTAGGGAGAAGTCAGACATTCTGTATCAAGTTCATAAGCGATGCTGATGATCCTGGTCTGAGAACTATTAATGGACGAGCAGACTAACTGAAAGACTCCCAATATCCCCCTTTTTAGACTTCTCTGAAAAAATGACCCTAATTTAGCTTTAATCTTGTGTCAAATCTTAACTCTTGGGCCTTCAATCCCATCTTATTCTGATGTATAATCAATTTGGATTCTTGACACACTAAGCACTGTACCATAATAAGATCTGTATTAAGACACATCACGATATAAGATTATTTCTGAAGAAATATTTCAGTAGGAAAGTAAGATTTTATATCTTTACCAGAGAGCATATCATGGTCTTGCAAGTTACTGATTGAACCTCCTTTTTTTTTTTTATTGTCTTAAGCCTCTCTTCCATAAAGTAATTGCCAGGCAGGAACCACAGACTTCCAAATTTTCTCTCAATTTTTTTCTGTCTCTAGTCAGAAATTCATATATGTAACTTAACTCAACTTCCTGACTCAAGAGTTAACTTTATTTTTGGCCAAGACTTAGACCCCTCCACACTTACGACTTTTTACATTGTTTTTGCTTCTTCATTTCCACTCTCCCCTAAGATACATGGGAATAATCCTATAACCTCTGTGTTTTTCCTTTTTGGTTAGGAACTTCTTACTTTTATATCCTATATCTTAGGCCAGGTGTGGTGGCTCATGCCTGTAATCCCAACACTTTGGAAAGTCAAGGCAGGAGGATTACTTGAGCCCAGGAGTTTGAGAGCAGCATAGGCAACATAGTGAGACCTCGTCTTTATTTTAAAAATAAAATAAAATATATCCTATGTCTTAATAGAAATTCCAAGCACTGTGGCCATTGATGTTATATATTATTTATTGTAAAATCCCCAGGAAGAACAATAAAATTGTTTCCTAAGGGCTGGAAACATAGAATATATCTCTATTAATTTCGTTTTAATATATTTCCATAGAAATGGAATTCTGAAGTTGTAATAATTATATGAATTGTTATTTTTATTTTAGTCTTTTATATACATATGCTTAAGTTTGTACTCAATTTGTCTTCTTTTATTTCAAGGGTGTGATTACTTTAGAGTCCCTTGGTAAAAGGGGTTATCGAGTACCTCCTTCAGGAACAATACAAGTGGTATGTGTTTTATAGCCTACAATTGCAATAATCATTCTCTCACATACATATAGAACTTAGCCCTTTCTCCTGCTACTGCTGCTGCAACAATTTTGGTAAGTAACAGTGAGGCTGGAGCTTTGTTTGGAGTTTCCCTGCTCTGCCCCAGGAATGACCATTTGGGGACCTCCATAAAAGGAAAGCATTAATAAGCTAATCAAGGTGAATACTTTAGAAAAAGAATCTGTGACAGTTTGCATAACTTAAATAGAGCTGTTTTCAGTATAATTAGAAGATAACATTGCTGGTGCCTTCTGTTTAATATAAACCAGATTGAGATCGATCTAATTAAAAGGAGACCCCCAAATAATCGTATTGCTTTGGCAGGAACACTTGGGAAACAAAATTATATTATCCCCAGTATCATGATTTCTAAAATTGATCTAATGAGAAGGTCACACCAAATAGAAATATAGTCTGACAGATGTCAGAGTGGAGAAGGCATCATTCATGTTGGTCTAGGGATTGATCTCATTTTGGCTTAGGAGCATCCTTCCCGCCCAGAGCAGTCCTTCATCATCCCTGGTCTGGGGTTCTCAGAAGAATAACTTGATATCAAGGGCAGCTTGCAATTGAATTCATCTCCAGAACTGAACAAAGATAATTCTGTAAGCCCTCAAGTTTACAAAGCTTGCAGACTGAGGCTTGTTCCTCCCACCCAGGAGCTAGTCTAATCCAACAAGCCTTCTTATGATCTTTGACCTCAGTGTGTTCAGTGCTTTGTCAGATCACTTTTACCCACATCATTGTTCCAATACTGCAAAGAGTCTGTACATTTGTTTATTTCATATTACACAGGAGTGAAATTTAGCTCTATGCAATCTATGTGTATATATCACTAGATATTAAAGTATGATTTTTATGTCAAGTGGGTTTCTTGAGCTAAAGAAATGATAATGTTCTGTTCTCTTGCTCCTGGCTATGTAGCCTATGGAAAAGTGTGAATCAGCGTAAAGCTAGCTGTCAGTTGTCATGATGGGCATAAACCCAGAGGCAGCATATTCACCTCTTGTTTGGAGACTGCCAATGTTAGTGATTAATTATAAACAATGAAATTTGAGTATATCTTTCATTCCTTACATAGTTTAATTATTTACATACATGGTTTGAATTCCTGGCTTATGAATTGTTATGGTTGTTGAATGTATTAGTCTTAATCTTAAGACTCACTAGATTTCAAAAATTGGATCATAATATTGATATATTTCTCATTTTGATTCAGTGAGTGATGTCCAGTGCCACGGATGAGCTTCTGAAAGCATGGGCACCAAGTTACCTATTGATGTGTTGGTAATTTGGTTAAAGTCAGATCAGCAGCTTGGGGTTTTGTTTAAAAATTAGTACTTTTAAAAATAATATTCCTTCAATTTTTCATAGCTAAGTACCAGTTAAATTCAATTCAGTCTTCACCAAGGATACATATTTTGGTCTGTAATGATATTGGTGATTTTTCCTAAAAAGCGTATATTGTTGCAGATTTGGAAATGATTCCAAGTATGAGAAAATGAAATATTATTTAGCTGGCTTTGAACTTAATAATAATTAGCTTAATTTTCTAAACTTGGAAAATTTTTCAAATAGGAAAAAGGCTCTTCTTTGAGCATCTATTTTTAATTTTACAATAACCATATGTACCTAAAACACCAAAAATTCTAGTTTTACTGAGCTTGTATTTTATTTGAAATATTCTGTTTATTCACTATTGAAATATGAAAAAAATTAAAATTCTGTTTTGAGGATTTTGCAGTTGATACTCTTTAGCAAAGCTAATTTTTAAAATAATTAGACTGGAATATTTTAACCCAGTAAGAATATACTTTGCTTATACCTGTGGAACTACTTTTTAAAAATATGAACAGAGTACAAGTTACATATTGTCAATATTAATATGAAATTTGTGACTAAAGAATTTGATTTGTTACAGGATTTTATTATTATGAAATAAAAAATTAAATGGAATCTTTTTTAAAAAATACTGAATATTGTGTTGTAAACTTCTGAAATTGTACTTCTTAGTCATGAAACTGAATTATATCCAGTAGAATTATTTTGTTATTAAAAGACTTAATTATTGTCACAATCATTCTGAGTCACATCAACAAATCACTGTTTTTAAAGAATAATTTCTATATTGTTTCTTCAGACCTTATTTAATCCTAATAAGACTGTGGTGAAGATGTTTGTTGTGATATATGACTTACGAGATATGCCAGCCAATCATCAGACATTCCTACGACAAAGAACTTTTTCTGTACCGGTTAAACAAGAAATGAAGAGAAATGTTAATAAGGAGAACATCCGACATACAGAAGAACGGTTATTACGCTACCTCATACATCTGAGGTAATGTTTCAAATGAATATGAAAATATGTTACCTCAGAAAAATACTAAAATTTTTAGGAGTTTTTTGTTGTTAACTGTGTCTCTAGCTAGACTAGTCCCCTTTAGACTTTACTTAGCTTGGGATCTCTTGATGAGGTGCTACGATGCGGAAAGCACATGGCATACCTTCCTGCAGTCATTATTACTTGTTGAGTTAGAAGAGTTTTCATTTTTAGCTGTTTAATGTAAAATATTTTACATCAAAAGAAATGCTAATATATCTGGGGCAGTAAAACACATTTCCTAAACCCATGCTTTTCAGTAAAAATATAACATGAGCTATGTAGATAGTTCTATATTTTTCAGTAGCCAGAAATTAAAAAGTAATAAGCAAGTAAGATTAATATATTTTATTTAACTCAACCTATCCAATGTTATCATTTGAATATATAATTAATATAAACTTTATCAATGAATTATTTTATATTATTTTACTAGCTCCTTGAAATCAAGTATGTACACTTAGAGTGGAACTCAATTTGAATGAGCCACATTTCTTTGTATGTGTGTATTTATTCATTCATTTATTACACACACAATTTGAAGTTCTTAATATTTTGTAGTAAATTTTGTAGATACCAGGTCTAAAAATAGAAAATAAACAAACAAGCAAACAAAACAGTGTTTTTCCTATTCTCACAAATGAGCCACATTTCAAGTGCTCAATAGCCAGATGTGGCTCCTACTGTCTTAGAAAGGAAAGTTCTTAAACTTAATTCATTCACTTGTTTAACTAACATGTACCAGGTATGCTTTTGGAAACTAGGGAAACAGCAATGATGACATCTCTGCTCTCATAGAGCTTATGTTCTAGTGCTTCCATCAGAAATACATTTTCCTTTAGCTTTTGCTACCTAGCTTGTAGTTCTAGATTGTGGGAAGCCATCGGTTTCCCCTTGGGGTTTATCTTGCCAGTATCCTAGGATAAGATTTTCAGCCCTGAAATCCTAGTTTAGCTCTCAGGATCAATGAGTAAATCAAGTGGTTGAGAGAGAACGTGGTAGACTTTTTGCCTGTAACTCTGTTTCTCATAATTTTTTGGTTCCTTTCATAGAAAGTCCTCAGTCATATCAGTGACATTCATCTTAGACAAACTCCTTACAGTAGGGAGCGCTATTTATCAGGAGGTATCACCTTTCATCCAGGGTCTGGGCAGGAAATTTCTTTAATCTTTTAATGATGGTGACCACCAAACTATCTTTCAGTATATCTGCCTTGCAGTGGTGATCTGGAGTGAATAAGAAGTGAGCAGTATACTCAAGTTTCATGTGTGAAAAAGTCTATTAAGTTCCCAACAAAGCACTACTTTTTTTTTTTTTTTTTTGAGTTGGAGTCTCACTGTTGCCCAGGCTGGAGTGCAGTGGCTGCTCCCAGCCACCGCAGCCTCGACCTTCTGGGCTCCAGTGATCCTTCCGCCTCAGCCTTCCAAGTAGCTGGAACTACAGGCGCACACTACCATGCCCAGCTAATTTTTGGTTTATGGTAGAGATGAGGTCCCGCCAAGTTGCCCAGGCGGGTCTCAAACCCACGAGGTCAGGCAATCCACTCAGCCTCCCAAAGCGCAAGATTACAGGCTGAGCCACTGAGCCCAGCTAACACTGCTTAATTAATTTTCTCATCTTGGTTTTCTGCGTATTTTTTTGCATCCAAAACATTATATCCAACATTTCTATGTTCCGCCAACAAAAAGTAATTAAACTCAGCCTGACACTGCCTGACATGAACCTATAAGAAATGTTACACAGATTGTAGGAATGGAAAAAATCCATGAAAAAACAGATTTGGGAAAACTTTTAAAAAGATAAATAGTATGAAATAGCAAACTATATGATTATCTCCTAACCTAGAAAAAGATTCAACTCTCTGGTTAAACTTCTGTTTGACACATTCCTCTTGAAGTTTAACAACCATAGCCATTTGTAACCAACGTTGACTAAACAAAAAAAATCAACTCCTCAGCTTTTATACTCCTCACATAATGACTAGACACTATAAATGCTGTAAAGAAACCTATTTGGGAAAAATGGTATACTTCACAAATCATCCCTCAGATTAAGAAGGTAAATAACTTCAGAGAGAGGGAAAGGTAAGCCATTCAGAGGCTGGCACACTCACAGCCACCCCAGCATCAACCTGCTGGGCTCCGGCGATCCTTCCACCTAAGCCTTCCAAGTAGCCAGAACTACAGGCGTGTATGCTATTGTGCCTAGCTAATTTTTTATTTATTGTAGAGACGAGGTGTCACCAAGTTGCCCGGGCTGGCCTTGAAGCCACGAGCTCAGGCATTCCACTCGCCTTGGCCTCCCAAAGTGCTGGGATTACAGGCTGCGCCACCGAGCCCAGCTCAGAGGTCTACTTTAACATAATAGAACTGACCACAATTTCAGCTAGTTTAGGAATAAAATCCACAAACCCAGAGAATATTTCTGCTATGCTGAGGGAAAAACAAAGAGAAATTAGCATTATAGGGTATGTTTGTCTATCTGCCAGATAAATTTATGTGGTTAAAGACTCCAGATCCCTATACTTGCTACAGATATTAGCAGTGGATAGAAATTTTTTCATATATAGTTTTAGTAGTCATTTTCATTTCACTGCTAACTTTTTTCTTGATTTTTGATGTTTTATTTAGCCAGCCACAGTTGCTGATGGGTGTTCTTTCCCATCCTGTGATTGTCCTCAAAACTTGATTATCTCCTGTGGTGACTTTTCATGTGTGGAATCCATTTTAATCTACCGAAAATCATGGGAGGATAAATTGTGTGAAATGAGTCTGTTTGTATAGCTAGAAGCTGCTAGAACTTCAAGCCTTCAAATATAGTGTTATCGCCTACATGACACTGTAGATGAGGAAAAGTAAAATTTTATTTGAACTCAGTTTTACAGGAAGAAAAGCATCTCAGAGATTGTGAGAAAGAAAAGGAGTATGAAATGTTTACGGAATAGTTAAGAGGGAGAACTTAATAAAAGCACATGCTTTGGCAATTTAAGACCTTAAAACACCATGTTAAGAGTTAGTGTTAGTCCAATGTTGTAGCAAGATTAGTTATTCCTGCTTTCAGCTTTTATAATTACTCAGCTTTGTTTTAAAGACTCCTTCTCTGAAACATTTTATCTTTCTGTTTGTTTAGGTTCCAGAGTTCTAAATCTGGAAAGATCTACCTCCATAGAGATGTTCGGCTCCTGTTCTCTAGAAAGTCAATGGAGGTTGATAGCGGTGCTGCATATGAACTCAAATCTTACACTGAATCACCAACAAACCCTCAGTTTTCACCAAGATGTTGATAAGGAGTGATAATTTAAAGTATTCACTCAGTACCCAAGTTTGCAAGTAAAAATTAGCATAGAATGGAGTGTACAAGTTAACAGTCAGGAGAGTGGATCCTCTCCTGTTATCCTGGACCAGTTTCTATTAAAGGATTCTTGAAATGAGATCCACATATTCCAAGTAGACTGGAAACACTCATGTCCTAATCTTTTTTGTACTGTTGAAACCACTTCGTTGGACATGTTGCAATAGCAAAACCCCCAGTTAGAGTAGTGTTTACACATTTTATTTCTCAGTTATTTAATATTTAATGTTTTCCTTAATACTCAAGTGATGTTTGTCTCTAGTGTTCTAATGTAGCACAAATCCTATGTAAAATCATACTATGTATTTTTGACATTAATGTTGAAATCTGAAATATATGCACAAGTCTTTAATTTTGTGTGATGTGTTTTAAGTACTATTCATTTAAGTTATTGAAAATGAGAATGAAATGTTGAGCTTCTTTAAAAATTAACGCACTATGCAAGCATGTGTACTTTTTATATTCCTCAAGTTTAGTTTTTATAACACCCCATCCAGGTTGCTGTCTCACACCATAGTCCTTTAACATGCTGTGTTAGCAGTGTGGTATGGACTAAGCTGCTTCACATTCCCCTTGCAAGTTCCGGTCGTCATGCCCATTCATATTCCTTCTAGGGTTCTTTACCCAAAAGCAGGTCTATTTTTCCTTAATCACTACTATAGAATCTTTACATTAAATTGCTGTCCTATGCTAGATAACTTTCTCAAATTGTTAAAACAATATGTACTTTGAAAACAAATTAGTATTTATATTGTAAATATATGCAAAAAACTAAGAAATGTGTATTTGGCTTTTATTTTTAGATAAGACATTTATGTGAGTGGATGAGTTAGCCACTAGGCAGTTTCACTGTAGACCTACAAGCTGTCTTGAGCCTTTCTCATTTATCCTTATTCAGCATCATAATGGAAGCCATGTGGCAACTGGAAACACCACCAAGCAAGGAAACTTGACCGAGAGCATAAGAAGCCTTCCTTCAAACACTCTTGGAAAGAACAGAGTGGTTTTAGATGTTTTTACTGAGACAATAGCAACAGCAGATTAAATAACAGGGCAAAAGTACTAGGAATGCTTGTAGATGTCTATGACTATTGTTATAAAACACATACCACTAAAGTAAGCCAGACCCAGGAGACCTGGGAGTCTAGAGCCAGGTAAGTAGTCTGGAATTAGGAGAGGGGAAAGTGTTTGCTTTGGGACCCAGGTATTGAGAATCTGGCCAGGTGATGAGTGTGTGACTTCAGGCTGTGGAGTTTGGCAAGCAGATGCCTCCTACAAATTTCTTTTTAAATATCAATTGAAAAAAAAAAAGTCTTATATTACACAAAACTAAACATTTTGCAGTGGTGCAAATTTATAAAGATTTGTTGTCAATCTTCAGGCTGTGTAGAAAGAATATGGGACAAGTACCCAAAATGTTTGTTTGTAGTTCTATCTCTATCTGAAGGATCTGACTCCAGAAATTCTCAAGCCTCCCAGGTCTATGTGAGAAAAAGCAGTAAGAATATCATGAATGTACCTTCTCTTCTTGAATTCTGTTATCTAATCCTTGAAGTATTTTAATATGTATATGTAGACTTATTCTACTTTTGGCAACAGTCACTATTGGTAGTTTATATAAAACATGAAAAACATCTAGAAAAAATGTTTCAAATTAAAAAGTTATTCCTGCTTTGACCTCTCCAGTAGTAATACCCCAAAATTAGTGATGTGTATTGTGTGCAGGTATCTTTTTGCATGGATACCACACTGTAACCTTTTCAGAATTTTGTTCATTTTTATTGTTTTTTTTGTTGTTGTTTTTTTTCGTTGGAGTCTTACTCTGTCACTTAGGCTGAAGTGCAGTGGCATGATCATAGCTCATCACAGTCTTGACCTCCTGGGGTCAGACGATCCTTCCACCTCAGCCTCCCCAGTAGATGGAACTACAGGCATGCAGCACCATGCCTGGCTAACTTTTATGATTTTTTTGTACAGTTGAAGTGTCACTATGTTGCCCAGGCTGTCTTGGACTCCTGGGCTCAAGTAGTCCTCGTGCCTCAGCCTCCCAAAGTGCTGGGATTATAGGTGTGAGCCACTGCGCCCAACCCAGAATTCTTTCTAGTACCTGGTTTTCCAACCTTTCTGAGCATTTTTAAGAAAATTTGAAGAAGTTAATTGAAACATCTAGGTGCATCCTGTGCTCTTCCTGGCAAGTTTGTGCTGGCTTTTTGTACTTGGTAGGGCCTTTTTTGCCCATTTTTTTCCTCTCTGAGGAGTCTGCTCTCATTTGCCCTGACATATCTCTGTCACACTGGTTCTTTTTCTATCCTTGTTTAATTATAGGCCATGACTTTACCACATCTCCTATATTTGCATTCAGAGATTATATCACTAGATTATATAACAGTTAAGTGTTGGCATGCTCAGAAAGATAGCAGACAGATGACATTACCTATGGTAGATAAGATACCTCTGCAGGCTCACTTGACAGTTTGGCAGATTAATAAAACAAGCCATAACTGATAATTCCCTTTAAAAAGAAACTATGGGTCACAAATAACTTGCAAAGTCTTTAGAGATTTTCTTAGATGAGAATGAATGCTGAAATCTGTAATGAGCCCAACAGAAGGGTCTCCCCTCCTGCCATTTTCCCCCTCCAGATTTCTCATTGCTAGGGTGCTAAAGAAAGGGAAATTTCTCCTTCAAAGCCTTCATCTTTGCTATCCCCACTCTTTCCTAATTAATTTTGTGAATAAAGCAGTGATTTTTCTTAGTGTTTTATAAAATACATATTGCAAATTTTCACTGTATTAGTATATAAATGTAAAATTCACCTCCCTTGAGTCTGCCCTTGCAGCTATCACTTCACAGAGCTGGTCACTTTTAAAAATTAAGTATATAACACATCATGTGACTTGCTAGACCTAGGGACACAGGTTCAGTCAAGATGGAAGTAGACTATCCATAATGGTAGGGACTGGTTCTCAATCCCTAGGCTGTCCTGTATGGATTGAAATCAGTCCATTATACTCCCTCATGGAGTATCTGTGAGCAGTACATCAAATTTGGACACTGTAGGAGAAGAAAGAACATGAATGCCTGCTTTGCGCAAGCCATTGCAGGCAGTTTATATTGTTATTTACTACTTAAGGCCATACTTCAGATAGTGAATATTTTACAGTTATTCTACAGTTGAAGGAGTCTTGAAGCTTGCCCCAAGTCACACTGGTAGTAAGTAGAAGAGGCAGGATTCAAATCTGGTTTAAAGGTTATGTCTGTTTGAATATGCTACACTGGCATTTTGCCTCACATTTTCATTGTTTTTTTCTACCAGAAATATACTTCCCATCAATATTCTTGGAAATAAAGTCTATAATTTGCTATGTGATGAGATACAGTAAGGCAATGCCTACTGATCATTAGGGGAAAAATGACTTTAGTTTAAAAAAACAAACCCCACAACTTTGAGAATGAATAGCCTAACACAACTCAAAGGCTACTCAACTTAGTGTGCTGTCAGGAGGCATGCAAATAGTTGAAAGAAGTTTTAGGAGCACATTGTCTGAAACACGAGATTTTTTATTAAGTTTTTCAAATCTCTTCCAGACCAACTCTCACTGTTGTTGTTTTTTGTTTTGTTTTGTTTTGTTTTGAGTTGGAGTCTTACTCTGCTGCCTGGGCTGGAGTGCAGTGGCATGCTCACAGCCACCCCAGCATTGACCTGCTGGTCTCCGGTGATGCTTCTGTCTCAGCCTTCCATGTAGCCAGAACTATAGGCACGTGCTACCATGACCAGCTATTTTTTTTTTTTTTTTTTTTTGGTAGAGATGAGGTCTCACCAAGTTTCCCAGGCTGTTATTTTTAATTTATCCAAAATTCCTGTTCCAGCCAGTAAGTCTTTAGGGAAGTCAGATCATCCACTTTCTAGTTCCACTTCCAACGCTGTTTACAGTTATCTAACCTGCTTATTCAGTTAATGATCCCTGGTATTTGTTCATAGAAATCACAATTTATCCCAAGATTTCTGCTGTTCAGTTTCTGACTTTTTTTCCCTGAGTTGATTTTCCAGTGTCTTCTGTTCATTTATTTTTTGTTTTGTTTTTTTTTAAGTTATGGGGTGGGGAGCCTCACTATGTTGTTCAGACTGGTCTCAAACTCCTGGCCTCAAGCAGTTCTCCCACTCACAGCCACCGCAGCCTCTACCCGCTGGGCTCAGGCGATCCACCTCAGCCTTCCAAGTAGCTGGGCCTACAGGTGTGTACCACCATGCACGGCTAATTTTTTGATTTACTATAAAGACGAGGTCTCGCTAGGTTGCCCAGGCTGGCCTCGAACACTTAGGCTCAGGCAATCCTCTCGCCTCTGCCTCCCAAATTCTGGGATTACAGGTGTGAGCCACCGCACCCAGTTTAAAAATATATACTTAAAAGCTAAGACAGTTTTTAAAACGTACTCTGTTTTCAGTGTTTGCTACATCCTGGTGATTGAAGTGGTTCTCTCAGATGTTTGAAGAACGCTTTGTGGGATATTATCTCCTTACTCCTATAAACGCTTGAGCTAGGGCAACTAAACCTCAAAAAGACCCCTGCTCTGTTAAAGCTTTTTATACACCTACCAAATTTCAAGTCAAAAAAATATTTTGTGCATGTATGCTTCAGGATCGCCAGGGGGAGCTTTGGTTAAACATCAATTCTTGAACCTTACGCCAAACCATTAGAATGAGAATCTCTGTCAAAGGGGTTTCTTAGTGATTCTAGTTCCTCTGGCTATATAAATTAATTAAAGTTAAATTTAAAATTTAGTTCTTCAATCACCCTAGCCACGTTTCAAGTGCTCAATGAGCATATATGGCTAGTGGCTACTATATTGGATAGCACAGATACAGAATATTTCTATCATCACAGAAAGTGCTATTGGACAGCACCAATCAAGAATACAGGCATCACTTTGGGAGGTCACTGTGAGAGGATTGCCTGAGCCCACGGGTTTGAGACCAGCCTAGGCAACTTGGTGAGACCTCATCTCTACAATAAAAATTAAAAAATTAGCCAGGTATGGTGGCACATGCCTGTAGTTCCAGCTACTTGGAAGGTTGAGGTGGAAGGATCACCTGAGCCCAGGAGGTTGAAGCTGTGGTGGCCAAGAGTGTGCCACTGTACTCCAGTCTGGGCGACAGAGTGCAAGATCCAACTCAAAAAAAAAAAAATACTATCATACCTCAGAGGTGTTGGGGGTATGGCTCCAGACCACCACAACAAAGCGATTATTGCAATAAAGCAAGTCACACAAATTTTCGGGTTTCCCAGTACATATAAAAGTTATGTTTATACTGTATTATAGTATATAAGTGTGCAATAGCATTATGCCTTAAAAAAAAAGGACATACCCTAGTTTTAAAATAATGCTAATGATCATCTGAGCCCTCATGAGTTGTAATCTTTTTGCTGGTGGAAATTTTTGCCTTGATGTTGATGACTGTTGACTAATGAGGGTAGCTATAGCAATTTCTTAAAATAAGACAACAATGAAGTTTGCCACATTGACTCTTCCTTTCAAAAAAGATTGGTCTATAGCATGCAATTATGGCATTTTACACACATAACTTATTTCAAAAGTGAAGTCAGTCCTCTCAAATTTTGCTGTTTTATGAACTATGTTTAATATAATATGTTTAAATCCTTTGTTGTAGCAATCAATCTGAAAAAAAATCAAGAAATCAATTCATTTATAGTAGCTACAAAAATAAAATGTCTAGGAGTAAATTTAACCAAAGAAGTAAAGGATCCCTATGAG